AAAATTATTTATCAAAATCTGTTTCTGAATATCCCAGCAAAAGTGGCATGAGGCAATAAAGTCTGGGGTATAGATGTCAAAATACATGTATTTGCTACTGCATCAGAAACCCCAATTACAGTGTTTCATAAAAGTATGGGTTCACGTAATTTTAGTTTAATTTTTTTATCAACGGCTTTAAATGAAGTCTAACATTTCAAATTAGAACTTTGCAATTCCAATCAGATGTCCAATTACAATATGTAGTGTCTCTTATTAGATGCTGGCTGTAAGTAGATATCTATATTTTAATAACAAAAATGTGCATAGAAAATAAATATAATATACATTAATAATTATTGGGTTGTTTGGAAAGTAATTTCATTTTTTACCCACCAATTTCATTCTAAATCATATTGTCATTATATATTTTGACAGCTGACATTTCAAGGCTTATTTGTAAAAAATTTTGTTTGATTCTGTGCAATTTTTTTTTCTGTGTGTGTCTCATCAAATGTGAAAAATTGAAAGCAGCATTTTCCTTTCAGCATATTTTGCTTTTTTATTACCGAAAAGGTAAGAATGCTGTTCAAGCAAGAAAAAAATTGTGTGACTGTATGGAGAAGATGTGTTGACAGAACGATACCAAAACTGGTTCAGAAAATTTTGTTTTGGCAATTTTGACATTGAAGATGCACCATGTCTGGAAGGCCAGTTGAAGCTGATGAAGATAGAATAAAAGTATTGATTGAAGCAAACTGCCAAATATTATAACAACACGAAAAATAGCTAAGAGGTTAAATTTGTCAAATTCAATCATTTATGATTACTTGAAATGACTTGGTTTCATTTGGGTTTAAGAACATGGGTTCCACATGTTCTTAAAGAAAGAGATTTGCTCCATTGCATTGACATCTGTGATTTGCTTATCAAACCTCAAGAAAATTATCCATTTTTGAAGCAAATCATTACTGGTGATGAAAAATGGATTGTTTATAACTATGTCAAATGCAAGCAATAATGGAGTAGAAGAGGCGAACTGGTTCAAAGTGTACTTCTGTCAACTGGACAAATTGAGTGATACCATCAAACAGAAAAGGTGCAGTGTTTCACCATGATAATGTCAGACCTCACACAAGTTTGGCAACTCACAGAAGCTGTTACAGCTTGGATGAGAGATGCTACCGCACCCACCATATTCACCAGATCTAGCACCCTTGGATTATTACTTGTTCCGGCCTTTACAAAATTTTTTTAAACAGTAAAACATTTACTTCAAGTGAGGATGTCAAAAATCACTTGGATCAGTATTTGTAAGCAAAGTTCAGAATGAGCATGGAATCATGCTACTACCAGAAAGATGGCAAGAGGTATTGAACCAAAATGGTCAATATATAATATATTATTCAATGAAATATTTATTATAAAAAAATTTTTTTTCATGAGTAAAAATCAAATTACTTTCTGAGCAACCAAATAAAAAAACAAAAAAGGATTTTATCATCTTATATTGATCTATGTGAGATATTGAGCTCATTCCCAAAATTTAATGGGCCAATTTTTATAAAATTTTGCCATTTTTATTAATTGCGATGAGGAATCCAAAAATGTAATGAGGGTCCATTTAAATGTAAAAAATAGGAGTCCATGATTTTGTTTTTGATATACAGAGGTATTAAATGACAATGTCCATGCTCTCTGATGTGATTGAGTGCACCAAACAGAATTTAGGCCTAAGAGTCAAAAATAAAATCAGCATTATGTGTGCCTCATGGAAAATAGGCATGGGAAAAACAACAAAACACAGGAACAAATCAATTGATGGCAATTGCTTTGTTCTTGGATAGCATCTCCATGTCAGCAAGTGCAAGGATAACCTCTCTCATATGGCCGGCAGGTACAAGGATAGCCTGTTTTGTACTGCAAATGCAAAGTTTACCTGTCCATGTGTCAAATATAAAAATCTCCTCTTCTTTGCCTAACAGGTGCAGAGTTCACTCACTTCTTTCTTTTCAGTTCCACCTTAATTTTATCACAATACGACAGTCAAGTTATATTCTAGTATCAATTATATCCAGTTGTGCATATAAAGTTTTTGTGTGCATAGTGTATGTATTATATGAGTTTATTTGATTTTTATATACATTTTTGTTAATGATACAGTTGAGTTTTTTCAAGTTATGTATTTTATTTTTTTTAGAGTTATTTTATTTTCATTGTTTTCTTTTTGGTTTTTAATTTTATATATTTATATTTTAATCTATGTAGAAAACTGACATGTTCTTGTAAATTTTCATTAATGAAAAATGTTAATATTCAAAATCAATTTGTTCCAGAGAACATTCCAGCTTTCATTCTTTTTAAAATTGAAATTGGTTTCTTTCTACCCTGAAGAAAGTCATTTAAGATAACTGAAAATGTTTGAAAATTAAAATTATACTGCATTTTTAAAGGTTTATGTAGTAGTACTGTAATTAAAATAACATATGAACTCGAAAATTTATAAAAAAATTTGTAATGGACAAACTCTGAAAGTGTCCTTTACACTTATTATATGATAGTGTATGAAAAGGGACTAACAGTTTCATGACAGAGTCAATTGTTATTTGGAGGCTTCTTGTCTGCCTGAACATGCAAAATGGTTACAATCTTTCTGGTGGTGACATGATCAATTATAAAAATTATAGCTAAGAAAGTAAGGCATAAAAAAAAGGAACCAAGAATAAAGAACACTTTTAGAGTTTGTCTTTTCTTTTGATTTTACTTTTTATTTAATTGTAATTTTACAATTTTTTTTACAAAGAAATATTATATTTTTAATTGTGTTGGGATTGTCACCTGCGGACATTTTAAACTGTTTTACATATTTGTGCAGAGGCATAGCCTCTAAAGAAAGGTTGTCTCTGCAATGGAAATAGTTGTTCCCGGTGATTGAACATGGCAAGCAGTGAAAAGTGGACTAGTATCCATTTTAATGTATTTTTACTTTTTATTAAAAAGATTTTACTTGTTATTAGCATTTACAATTTTTTATAAAGCTCATCTCTACCTTCAAGATTAAACTTTTGCCATTTTTAATAATTAAAAATATAACATATGGTGCCACCCACAATTTTAATTTTTTTACCAGGTAGGTATGCAACTCATTGCTGGATTTTTATTAAAATAACATAGTTTTCATGCCTGCAAAAATTTCTTGCTTGTAATAATGTTTGTTCCATGCAGCTGAAAAAAAATAGCGGAAACATTGTTCTTGGCTATTTTTCTGTTCCTGGAAATCTATATATTTAATATAATTTAACTTTATTTGAATATACTTTAAATAAAGTTAAAACTAAAATATATCATTAATTTAATTGCTTTTTAAAGAATTAAAATCTTTCTGTTTCTGATTTTTTTACAAGGAAATTAATGCATAGATTATTAAAATAACTTAATATTTTTTCATAAGTATTTGATTCCATTATAATTAAATTTAAATAAAGCCAATTATTGTAAGCCAATACTTGAATATAAGATATACCTTAATTTTTATATTCTCACCCATAGATTTTTTTGAAAAAATAGACAACTTGAGACAAATTTATATCAATGAGACATTCTGTTAATGTGAATTTGTTCAGTATTTATTGCACAATAAAACAAGTTACATATTACTGTCTTCTTTGGTAATAGAAGAATCTGATACCTCTGAAACATCTTCACTTTATGTTAGGCTTTTCCGATTAGATCTAGTGCTTATATCTTTTCTCATGCAATAGTCATCAGTGCTATTTAATGCATTGGAAATGCAACATTTCTTGAAAGAGTACTGCACATTTTCTGAGATTTTCATAATAAAAATTCAAGTACTGTTGATGTTACTTAATAGACTAACAAGATTGAGCTAAGTTGACCTCAAATATTTATTATTATAAATGTTGGTCAAAAATCATTAAACTGACACAATGGAATTAGTGCCATATGTCTTACTACTCTGAAACAAGGTGTTTGGCATGAGAGGTCACTAATTATGATAAATTACATCAAATCTAAGATGCACTCTGTTTTCAGAAATAAATCTAAGATGCACCTATATACAGAGATAATGAGATCAAGAACTTATTTTTGACAGAATTAAATTTTAATTAAATTGCATAATTTTTGTATATATCTAGCAATATTACATCTATTTGAAATTTGGAATTAATAAATCTTTTCTATTGTAAAGTATTTTTATTAAAATACACATAAGCAGACATATCTCCTAAAAATGATCAAAGCAGAAATTACAAGCAAAGAAAGATAACTAAATCATTTAATTAAAGACTTATTTTATTGAAATATTTTTGTATATTAAGAAACATTCTTTCTGGATAACTCATGAAGTTTCCTTTCAAATAAATATTTTTCATTCTTTCTATGCAAATAATAAATCAATGTATTGCGAATTTAGATAATTCCTAATTAAATTATTTAAATAATTTAAACTAGATTTTTAAGCATTTGTTTCTTTGGGATTAGCGATATTATTATTTAAATGTAATTTAGTGAACTGACTTTGTGACTTAACCAGTTTTCTTAAGACTCCTTGAAATCTTAGAAGTCTTAAAAAATCAGTCAAGTTGCAAACTCAGTTCACTCAATTACTTTGATGCATATAAAATACAACTCACATCAACCATTAACTGCTGTGAATATGATTAACACTGGTTAATGGTTGGTGTGAATCATGTTTAATATTCATTCCAGTGTGCTGTGCAGTTAAGTACATACATTGATGCAAATATTTAGATTTTCAAGATTTAACAATAGAAATTTTACATAGAAATATTTTTAGATTATTGGAGATCTTTTGAATTAAAGATGAAAGTATCATAAAGGAATGCATTTTACAAATTATTTCATTTCATTCTAAATTAGCATCCATTTGTGATTATTATTTGAATCTTATAATTTGATGTTTTGTTTAATTGTTCTAAATATTTTTCTTTTTAAAGCATCAACTTTAATATACTAATATTAAATATTTATATTTCAAGCAGCGAAAAAAAATAATTTTTTGGGAGGAAATCCACATTTTGATAGTGGAGATGCTGTTCCAATTGTTATGGGTTGTCTTGCTGCAGGATTAGCTCTTGTTGCCTGCTGTGCGGGTATTGTGCAATTAATGAGGTAAGTAAATACAAGGCAACAAATTACACTTTATAACATTAGAAAATTTCATATAATTTGATATTTATTTTTGTTTCAGGCATGTTCTCATGCCATCATTACTTCATTTTTTTCCTTAAATGATTTTCTGCTAAAAATTTCTTAGTTCTTGTCTTTTCAAATGACCAATGGGTCATCAATATAATATCATTTTTGCAATAACAAAGGATTAGTGTTTCTTAAATGTTAGTTTATTGATATATTTGTACAAATTTTATTAGTTTTTTTTCCTATCAATTATCCTATTAAGAATATATTTTATGCCCTGACTGAGAAGATGGAATATAAAAATATCATGCTTCAGAAAGAATTTTTTTATCTTTATATTCATTCAAGCACTACAAGCTTTCTTACGTAATAGAGTTATTAGGATATAGTTTACAAGATTGCCATATTGTGTAGAGGGAAAAAAGTCTTAATTCTAAAATTGAAAGTTCAATTCTATTTAAATATATATGATAAAATACAGCTAAATATATATATTTATATATATATGATGTCTTTCTTTTCTACATATATACATATATATTCTATATATATATATGTAGAAAATGTCTTTAACTGAAAAGAAATGATATAATAGAAGGAAATAAGTAAAAATTAAAAAGATGGCAACAGTGACAGGAGTGAAAGCAAATTTTAAACACAAATAGTTATGTTTTTAATATAATGGAAAATAAAATGTGCCATTCCAAATATAAAGAGAGAATATCAACCCATAGATGGAGAAAATCTAGCAGAAAAGAATATTAAAAATTGAAAAGGAATGTTTGACAGAAAATATTATTTATAATTAGAAAAAAAAAGCAAAAGGAAAGATTAATAAAATTTAAGCTATGCATATAAAATAGTAACTATAACTGTTGGCATTAAATGAAAATAATTTTAAACTGCTCTAAGAAGACAGAATCAATATTTTGGATTATGGAGGAACTAAACATGATTTGTTTATGATGTCAAATCTTTGGAATAAAAATAGTGATGATGATCATCTGATAGGATGGATTAATTCAAAAAGAATGACCAAAATAAAAAACTAATTAATTTTTAAATTCTTGATAAAACCAGATATTAAGTAGAGATTTCAAATTGTATATTTTTATAAATGAAATATTATTTATAATTTTTGTGTTTAGTATTTTAATATCCTCTTTGTTAAGATATACTGACAGATATTTTCATTCATGTGTTTGTTCTAATATAGACAGTTCTGATGCTGAGAAAGAAAATTTCAATTTGAAAGAAAGACATCAATTACATCTAATCAATAAAATCTTTAAATATTTTGAAGAAGTTCAGTATAAATTAAGCTGAAATTTCATTTAAAAATTTTTTATTTAATATTTGATTGCTTCTTGTTCGCTCTTTATTTTTAATATTTAACTTCTTTTTACAATTTCTTATTTGGATCAGTCTAATTTTGTGGATGTTCAAATGTTTTTCTTATTTAATATTAGTTTATATTAAATTATATATTTTCATTCTTTGAAGATAATGTATTTAATAAAGATGGATTAGCTATTGTGGATAATCAGCTAAATTTATCAATGCACTTTTAACAGAGGTATTCCCTGTTAAAAGTGCATTGATAAATTTAGCTGATTTTAACAGTGGGTGAATTTAAACTTAAAGTTCATCATAAAATAGCAACTGCACACCAGGTTTAATAAAATAAATATGACTTACATGAACCTATAACCGATGTGTATCCAATTAATCTTTCATAGACGAACATTTTCTTAACCCCTTCTGGGCTCTTCTTCAGGTGAAATAGCTGGATCGAACACCATAAAAACGAAATTTGAATAAATCCGAACTCTGTTGAGTTTGAATCGTTCGTTTCGTTCTCTTACTCCGTCACGTGTTATGTTTGAAAGTATTCGGAGTTAACGATCAATCTCCGAACACTTTCAAACATAACATGTGACAGAGTAAGCGAACGAAACGAACGATTCAAACTCAACAGAGTTCGGATTTATTCAAATTTCGTTTTTATGGTGTTCGATCCATCTATTTCACCTGAAGAAGAGCCCAGAAGGGGTTAAGAAAACGTTCGTCTATGAAAGATTAATTGGATACACATCGGTTATAGGTTCATGTAAGTCATATTTATTAAAGTTTATCCATTGTTAAAGATGCATTTGACTAATTCAGATAATGTATTCAATTATTTCTTTTAAGTACTATTAAAATTTTCTTTAACTTCCTGCATTAGGTACTGTACATTATATGTAATGCATATTGCATGACTTTAATGGCATGAAGTAATCTTATAACTTACAAACAGAAAAAAAGCAGAAACATTGAACTGTTATTTCCTGGATCTGCCATTATGTGCTTCCAGAAGTACCCAAAGGAGGGTGCTAATTCAAAAATTAAAAATATTTGGGTAATTAATAAATATCTTTTATTAACATATGAACCATGTATTCTATTGTGGATGGTCTGAAACCATATTTGCCATCATAAATGCTTTCAAAACAATGTTTTGAAATTTGAAAAAATAAATTTTAATTATTTTTTGTGTCAGCAGGGAGGGCTTAGGCCTCTGTAGCTTTCCCCTTGTCTTCATCACTAGAAACACATGTTAAAGTGTACAGCACAGACTAATGATAATTATGTGAATTCAAAAAACTGTAATTTTGATCATTTCTATTGAAAATAAGAAATGTAATGACCTTATCTTTTTATACACACTAACGAGGGGACCTTACAGTCTCGGAAATTCAGTTCGGGATGAGACTTGGCAGGTTAGTAGTATACCTCAAGGGTGTCCACCCAGAAGAATTGTAAAGTGCACTAGCCAGAAGATTCCGAGAAAAAAGGCTCTAAAATTTTAAGCGCAGCTTATATACCGATTGATTCTACATTATGGCAGTACAGTGAAGTGGCTGAGTCCGTAGCATACTCGCTTGCAACGTGGTGCGACCTAGGTTTGATCCTACCTTCGGCAAACTTTTTTTTCATTGGTTTAAAAATTATAACAGCTTTTAAATAAAGTTAATGACATAAAAATATTATCAATTAAATCATAAATACTTCTATTTTATTTATGAAATGACTGTTACAGCAGATTAAAATGTGAATTAAAGATAACATTTTATTTTTCAAAAGTTGAATAATTTCAAATGCATTTTTAATGGAGGTAAATTAAAACTGTAATTACCACTTTAACAAATTTTCGGGTAGGGTTTTATTTAATATATATGTTATTATTTTATTTATATATTTTTAATATAAATTATATTCAGTAATATAAAATATATATAAATAATTTTATTTATATAAAAAATTTTTACAATATTGTCTTTATTTGTCAATTTTTTATTTTACATACAAGCACCTGAATGATAATTATCATAAAAACATTGAAAACAAAAACTATTTTGACATCTTGCACAATTTATGAAGGATGATTGTTTTTTAATAGATCTGTTGGAAAACATACTTCATTATATTCATAAAAATTTCTCTTTTATCAGGAAGTTTGGAAGCATACCAGGCTTACCGAATCATTTCACTAAAAATTGGTGATGATAGTTGATGAAGCACTATTGATTGTATTTTTATACAATTTTCACGGAAATTTATTTCTCTATTATTTTCAATTAGATAAGCGCAATTTTGTATATGCTTTATTAGATTTTTTACCTGTCTATAAAAATATACGTTGCAAGGTTGAACAAGAGGAGTACATTTTGGAGGAATTACTTTTATTGTACAAGTTGGTGATTTCTTGTCATCTTGAAAGATTTCGTCATACAATTCAGGCTTCGTTTGCCCACCCCAAGAGTCAATAATTAATAAAAACTGTTCTTTTCCCACATAAGACTTTAAACAACGGTTGAGAAAGTCAATATACAGTCCTGTCGTTAGTTTCCCAGATTTCGAAGACATTATTGCAATCTTTTTATATTTTTGCGCATATTCATTTACTGTTTTTTGAACTCGGGGGCCAAAGTTACCAGTTGCTTCTTGTAAACAAACAAATACTTGAAGTAGAACTTTTCCAGACAGAGTGAGAGCATATTGAGCGGTATATGTATGAGTCACTTTATTCATGCCTTTTGACGAAAATAGTTTTGCTTCCTTTTTTATCCAAGGTCCTGTTGTACACCGACTGATACTGACATCCTGGAAAGAGAAAACAACCGAAATTTAAGTATTTTGTCAGAGTCGTAAAAATAAAGAGCAAAATGAATTTGTAAATACTCTGCAATAATTTACCTGTCTGGTCAGTGCTGATAACAAAATCTTTGTTGAAATTCAGTATCAATTTGAATGTTGGGTTCGAAAAGTGTCTGCAGAAGCCAACATTTCTTTGATCGTCGCTGTTTCTTTTTTTGAAACAAATTTTGTCACTTTTCATTGATGAATTCCATGCTTATTTTTGAATTTATGAACCCAACTATCAGAAGCTTTAAATTCAAAATCTGTAAATTATTGTGCTGCTGCTAAAGCTCACTGTTGTAAATTTCGAGTAGTCACTTGTTGATAATTCTCTTGGGCTTCAACAAAACGATCACATGTCCAGGAATTTATTATTTCGTACTTATCAAATTGATTTCCTCCTTTTTTTATCTCTTCTTCCCATCTGGATAAATATTCCTTCTTTTTTAACCGGCTGCATCCTTTTTTTTTGCAATGTTTGTAGATTCCACGTGGGGTGAGCCTTTGCGATATTAACAACTTTAATTTTGTAATCCAAAGAAAGATGGTCTACCTCTCTCTTTTTTTTTCCTTCTGGTTCATATTCATCTGATGAGCTATGGTCTTCGACATTTTCAAAAGGTTCCTCGTCACAGTTTTCATTTTCATGAGCAAGTTCATCATCAGTCACAAGTATTTTTTCAGCCAGCATGTCCATAGTACGTTGTAATAAATGACCGCATCTTTTAACCTCAACTTCGACATTTCACTGTATAATGAATCTTGACTGATTTTATCTGCAGCTTCTGATACTTTCGCAATTTCTTCATTAACAGACATTTTCAATTCACAATAGTTTAAAAGTTCCAATAATATTTCGCAGTACAGAATGCTCCAATCTTGCAAAAGTCAAAAATGAACTAGCATGTTAGTTTGAGTTTCTAGAATAATAAGGATGGGTAAACTTATATATATTGTGTGAGACTCACTACATAATCAGTTTACTTACTTACAAGTTAAATAACATAACTTTCTAAAAATATCATTTT